ATGACGCTCGCGGTATTTTCAGCTTCTGCCGTCTCACTATATGATGATATGAACACGAATGTCATCTCCAGCTGCTCTGAGAGTCACTTCATTAGCATTTTACCGTTTAATTTGAGAAAACTCCCATCATATCACATACACAGCAGCTGCAAGTTCTTCACGTCAACCCATCAAAATAAAAGTTTAGTTTAACGTTAAAAAACTGTCAGAATATATTACTATTTAGCCGTCTTAAGACTCAATGCTACTACTGCTAATACATATTAATAAATCTTTATTTTTAAAGGAATATAAAGGGCTAAAATACAATTATAGTATATTTTATTTCTGACAGTGTAAACAAAAAAAGGCCTATGAAATGTTAAAAAACATGGCTTTAAAATCTAATATTAAGTGAGTATAATTACTGATTATATTCTTTTAATAATTTAAAAGATCAGTTAAGTTTAGAGGTATCAGTATCGGCATCGTTATCGACGATACTGGGCTTGAAAATATCGGTATCGGATCGAAAATAAAATAAGAGGTATCACCCATCCCTAATTGATACTCCAAATAACCCATAAATAAATTGGCATAATCGGGGGCAAAGGTTGCCCACATAGCTGTAACTTAAAGTTGAAGGGAAAAAAATCGTCCTGAAATCTAAAGTAATTCTTCGAAGGAACCAATTGTGCCATTTCAACCAATAAATCAGAAGAAGGTATTTTGTTTGCTCTTGTTTCCAAAAAGAATTTTAAAGCCTGTAAGCCCATAGAGAGAGGAATATTAGTATATAGACTAGTGACATCAAGATTTGTCAAATGTTCAAAAAAGTCACCAGTATCTCTATGGTAACAACCACTAAAGGTCGAATATGGGCATCGTTTTTCTTTTTGTATTTTTTCCATTGATTGAATCTAGGCACCCAATTATATTTTCTATTTTACTCAATCGGCACAGAATTTTTTCACACTTTTTGTTATCAAGAAATGTCATAGTGTCATAGAGAAAGAGTCTGCATTCAGGTGCAGTGGGTTCACGCGTCATATGAGCTCCTTTGCTTACATTTTCTTTTGCTCCAGAAGCAGGTATGACACAGACATTGGATGTTTAAAGGACAGCAGATAATCTTACAGGCCGCGAGGATCAGTTAAGCTTCTTGTCAAGTGCTCCTCTTCAGATCTGGCCCTACGGCACAACCGTGAGATGTCAGGGTGACAGTCTAGACAGCAGCTGTCTCACTGAGAACTTTTCCAAAACTCCACATGAGACATCAGTCCCTCCTACATGCAGGAATCATTTGTCTCTATTCAAGTCCAGTCAGAGGGGAAGCACGGCTTTCGCTGCATAGTTGGCTTGAAGATAAGGGTTTCATTGGACCGTGTGCCCCACAGAAACATTCCATCAAAACTGTCTTCAAAGTAAACACGGGCATCGACGCTTTCAGGCATAGAAGTGTTAGAGAGCACCTGTTAGAACCCATAGAGAGGCAAACAAACCTAAGAGAAATATTAGAAGACTGAAATATAATAGTTGGCCATTCATTGCTAGGTGGTATTGCTTGATATATTTCTATCTATATTATTTGAGGTGCTTGCATTATTATTACTATTGGTCTAGGTAAAAAGATCATAATTTTAACAGCAAGAGACTGTAAAAAATGCTACTGTAAAAACTTGGTTGATTGGCTAATGGTAAACTCCGTTACTATATACTGTAAAGTGAAATACTGTAATAAATCTAATGGGACATTTCATGTCATTTTAGTTTTTAGAAGCGAAGTCATCTTATAATTTGCAGTGAAAAACTGTAAATTGAAATTCACAGAAAACCATGTGGGACACTTGTATAACTATTTTTCTTCTTAGTATTTCTTATCACTTATGTACATTAGGGTTTTATGGTGCATCTTATCTTGTTAAATGAAGTTTATTGCATTATATTTTAGTGTCGTGTGTTACCATGATGGTGTTTTGTATTTGTGGGTAAGACGCTGTGTACACTTTCTACATATTTATTAGTATTTACCTCAGCTAGTGGGAAAGCAAATTGTGATGAGCTTTTGATTCATCATGTGGCTTTCTCTTTTATTTTAGTATTTTTTTATTTTAATATTTTAGTATTTTCTATTTGTTGTATTAACATTATTTCAGTCAATTAAATATGTTTTACTGTAAATTTTGGTTTATTGGTGTTATCTATCTAACCTTAAGTATTTTGGCACATACCCATGAACATTTGTGAATAATACTTCAAATCATGTTGCTTTTTGAGGTGTCATATTAAAACTGAGCGGAGCGCACACGCATAGAGTGGGATAATACGCAGAGCGTCACACCACGTGAAAGTGAAACCTGAGCGGTGAACTAATTTTCGGCAGCTGAAATTTCGGTGCATCTCTAATTATTGGTGACATCAGAAATGGATATTATATAATAGATGCTTTTTTTTTTACATTTTAGCAATTTAAAAATATTAACAAAGGATTTTTTACACGGCACCCCTGCTCTCGACAGACGGCACCCCGGTTGGGAAACACTGCTGTAGAGGTTGATAGAGATTCTTATTCTTAGCAGACTTGGAAACATTTTTTTTTTCTAATGGTTAACAATACTGGTCCAGTCTGACTGAATAATGTCTCCACCAGTTCTAAGAATTATTTTATTATATTTTTTAATATGCTGACAGTGTTGACTAAAAGTAGGGACACAGCTGTGAAACATAATGATGATAATAATAATAATGTATAATAATATAATAGTGTATTATAACTATCATACAGAGCATTTTAAGGTGCATTACAAGGCATAATTAATGCATTAATACTACTTTTATAATGCATTATATATAAAGGCTTTAAGTAAAGTGTAACTAAAATGAATAATACTTTTATTCAGCAAGGTTGCATTAAATTGATCAAAAGTGACAGTAAAGACATGATATTTTAAAAACCAATGACAGGCATATGTTGGCACAAGAATCAGTGAATTTGAAAAATATTCATAATTCTGCATTAGAACGTTTTCTCCATATCTATGCAGTCGAGGCAAGGGCTTGCTGTTCTTCCCAACAGTGTTTTCCAGCTACTCCATTCAGATCATAAAAGTGAAGGGCCCCGGGTTTACTAGACCCTTAACCACAGTTACAGTGGACTCACATCACTGTTGAGTCCGCTGCAAGCGAGCTTCCCACATACAGCCATACAACACAAACATCAGACGGAGACGAGAGCCTCTCCTGACATTCAGTAAAGCGTTTCTTTCAGTGGAGGGGGAGGACGAGTGCAGAACATCATACTACCTTTCAATAACCTTCAAACTCTTCTAACACCACTGAACAGCAAGATCACTTCACTCAAATAAATCAATTCAAATGTATGTTGAGTGGCGTTCTTAACCTACACATAATTCTGCTCTTTAATTCAAATTAGTAATGTGTTCATAACCATATACAATATAAGTTAAAGCTATAGCTCAAATCCGGCCCTTGATTTAAGAAACCCTGTAGTATGTCATTAATTGATAAACTGTTAATATTCCAAACTACCTGAACTTCTTAAATCTGTTAACCATCATAATAATACTGAACGTAGGTAGAAGTCCATATGATTCATCAAAAATGGCCTTTAGATATAGCTAATAAACTTGAATAGATACAATGTGACCCCAAAGGTGGAAAAAAAACACACATGACATGCGTAAAATGCAATAAACCAAGATTAAATATCATAAATTGTTCATAACTGATAACAATAAAAATGCCAAAGATAAACATTTTAATACAAATATAATTCAATATCACAGGAACATCCTTTTACAGTAAATTAAGCTAATACTTTTTACTTAAAAACATTTACAATATTTTATAGTAAAAATAAAATATTTTGTAAAATATGTAATTTAACCATGACTAATTAGATAATTCATACATTTACTTACACAAAAACTATTTTAATAACATTTTACAATAAAATGCCCTATATTGTCTTAGATTTACAGAAAATTGTTATGTACTTAACTACAACAATATTTTACAGTAAAATTACTTGTCTTGTTCAATATAAAATAGATTTTCATTGAAACACACTGGGAAGTGAATTTACACATTTGACTTTTAATATAAATTTTAATAATATTTTATTATTTTAATTGTATTCTTTATATATAACGTTTATATTATATTTATGATTTTGTTAATTATATATATTTTTTTTTGTTTGTTTTTTTACAGCACAACACATTGTTCGCTCAGAACAATATTTTAATTTCTGGAAAACTCAGACATGAGTCACAGTGGCACTTATATATGTTCCAAACAGCACTAAAAATACAATATAGCTAGATCTATCTGTCACAGTACAGAAGGAGACCAGGGACGGAGAGGTAAAGTAAACAGAGCTTTATTGAACAGGTGCTGGGAGAGTGAGAGAGATGGAGAGCAAACGGGTTAGAGCAACAGTCTATGGAATGGAAGGGATCGGGCTCACGTGATGAAAGGTTCCTTGGTGGATCGGGCTGAAGAGGATGGCACAGAGACAGGAAGGTATCAGGATGGAGTCCGGGTTCAGTGAGTCAGGTAAGGAGTAGCGTAGTGAACTCAAGACCAGACGAAGTGTGACTGCAGTGGCTGTGCATTTAAACTAGTGCTGATGAGGTGGTGACAGGTGCGGCTGATCAGTACTCCGGTGATTGTGAACGGGTGTGTGAGATGATTGGGCCTGACGAGGCTGGACTCTCCCTGACACTATCGCTTTATCACCCAGTTCATTTTTCTTGATAAAACACTAGACATAGCAGTATGACTTGTGTGAAGCTGCTTTGAAACAATGTGTCTTGTGAAAAGCCCTTTACAAATAAATTTCACTTGACTTAACTTTTTGTTAGTGTATCTCACCATATTTAATGTAAGTTGCCTTCAACAAATAGACTTAGACTGAGAAAAGCTACTCACCACTGTTAGCATACAAACAGCTCAATGATGCCTACATTAGTGCTGGGCGGTATAAAATAATAAATACCGAATACCGGTGTTTATTTTTGTTATGATATGAATTTTTTAAATACCGCAATACGCAGTATGTCACTTAAACAACGTTCGGAACGCGACACTGTTTGAAAGGGGTCCCTTTCCACTGTTGCACCTTTGACCTTTTGCAAGGTTTTGATTTAAGTAGGCAATTATTAAAATGATAATGATATCGCACGCTGTTGCGATATGCATATTGCGATATTTACATTTGCGATATTTCGATAATTTCGATATATCGTGCAGCCCTAGTGGTGAACATGTGCTAGACATGTAAATGTGCAAAGCCACTGTTTAAAGCATAAGAGAATTGTTTGTTTTGCTGTTTTGCTAAAACCAGCTGTCGTTTAACTGGGTGGAAGTCACAGGACCGACTTGATCCCACTCATCTCCCTTACAAACGCACAACACACACTTCCCTCTGCAGTGTGTGCGTACAGATGTTCCTTAAAACCTATAATCTGTCATTTGGGAGAAATCTGAATTCACAGCCTTCAGCTACAAGGCAGAAACGTTCTTCAGGAAATATGTGTAGTGACCGCTGCGGTTCGCTCCCACTAAGACTGCTGAATAAACCACTGTCTTGGATCAAATCCATTACACACCACCTCAGCATGCAAGATCCATTATGAAGAAGGACCTATAGTCAAGCAATTCTCTGCTATATGCGTCGAACTAAAACTTTGACCTTTTGCAAGGTTTTGATTTAAGTAGGCAATTATTAAAATGATAATGATATCGCACGCTGTTGCGATATGCATATTGCGATATTTACATTTGCGATATTTCGATAATTTCGATATATCGTGCAGCCCTAGTGGTGAACATGTGCTAGACATGTAAATGTGCAAAGCCACTGTTTAAAGCATAAGAGAATTGTTTGTTTTGCTGTTTTGCTAAAACCAGCTGTCGTTTAACTGGGTGGAAGTCACAGGACCGACTTGATCCCACTCATCTCCCTTACAAACGCACAACACACACTTCCCTCTGCAGTGTGTGCGTACAGATGTTCCTTAAAACCTATAATCTGTCATTTGGGAGAAATCTGAATTCACAGCCTTCAGCTACAAGGCAGAAACGTTCTTCAGGAAATATGTGTAGCGACAGCTGCGGTTCGCTCCCACTAAAACTGCTGAATAAACCACTGTCTTGGATCAAATCCATTACACACCACCTCAGCATGCAAGATCCATTATGAAGAAGGACCTATAGGAAGGTCTGTGCACTTTGAAAGCTTGGCAGATTTTCAAAACCCAAACAAGCATTTGGTCAGCTTTCACACAGGTTTGGTTTTAAGTATAACAAATTGGTCTACACACTTTTAAATAATTAAAAATGGAAAAGCCTCTTGCAATTAACCATAAAAGTCATATTTAGTTTGCCATGAATGTATACAAGACTGTGCAGGTATGTTCAACACATCATGCAGTCCTAAAGGAATTGTTCACCCAAAAAATGAACATTCTGTCATCATTTACTCACCCTCATGTTGTTAAAAAATATATGACTTTCTTTCTTCTGCAGAATACAAAGTAACAAATCAACTGTTTGTTCATACACTGTAAAAAAAAAAAAATGATCATGCAGTCCTAAAGGAATTGTTCACCCAAAAAATGAACATTCTGTCATCATTTACTCACCCTCATGTTGTTAAAAAATATATGACTTTCTTTCTTCTGCAGAATACAAAGTAACAAATCAACAGTTTGTTCATACACTGTAAAAAAAAAAATTTTTTTCAACAAACAAAACAAATATTACACTACCCTGCATCATATTTGCTGAAAACCAATACTTGGTTCTTATACATTTGGGGTGCTGATTCCAAAAAAGTGTCTGTTTTGCTGTACCACGTCACACTTTCTCACAAAATATGTTGTTTAAATAGTATTTTGTAGCATGTTTGCCTTCGACAACCATTTGTAAGGTGAAGAATTATTTTATTATCCCTTATTCACCAGAAAACTGCCAAAAGAGGCGATTCCTACCTTCCTCTGAGCCAACTTACAGTTCTCAGTTGAGAATGAATGAATGAATGAATGAATGAGAAGCCATTATGAGTCCTGATTCCTAATACTGATTTCAAGATAAAATTACAGCTAGTGACAGAAAAGAAAAGAAAAATGACCCAGAAGCTTTCTATTACTATGTGTTATCTGTGGGAAGAAAATGACAGATGTTTTTTATTACTGATAAACTTGTAGAACATTTTTCCACTCCTTTGCACGCTGTAAGTTAAATGATGCATTTTGAACATTTTCTTTGTCATCAAAACGGAAATGTTTGACATTTGACTGTTTTTGTTATTTTGATAAATGCATTAAATCTAGATAGATAATTTGAAAAATATTCATTCTTATTTTGTGTAAAAACTGTATGTGATGGAAAGTATTTATTAATATTTTTAACACAGCATCATCAAATTAGGCGCATATTAGTTTTTGGTTTTGGTTTTGGTTTCGCTTTGTTTCGCTTTGCTTTGTTTTGCTTTGATGCAGGGCTGAATCTATCCGTCTACACCGAACAAGGTGAATGGAAGGTGGCACAAATGAGGGGGAAGAATGTTTGGTGTGCTAGTGTAAACAGCCCCTGGGTCAGGCTCCACTCCATCACTCATGGCAGGGGCCGCCCCCCTTGGGTCCAGGCCCCGACCATTTATTTAGAGCCAACAACAGCAGCAGTGAGGTCACAGTAGTGATTAGATGGGGAGTGAGGGGAGGCGATCCCATCGAGTGTGGGTTATTTCCACAACTTCCTCTGCTCTTTTCCCACTCTTTCCATTATGCATTCATCACACACAGGGAATGTTTAAAATAACACACTGCTCCTACTATTTGTGTAGTAATGAAATTACTACAATTACTTTCGATATTCAGAACACACTGCATGGAATACTGTATCCCACAATGCAATGTGCCTGGCTTGACGCAGCCAGATCTCATTCATGTCTCATGAGTTGATTTATAGTTTTATAGATTTATAGTTTTATAGTTATTCTAAATTGAGGAAAACAATATTAAAGAATGAGTTGGTGTACAACTTTTGACAAAGTTCTGAGATGATATAGCACCACATGCTAAATACATGCAAAATAGTCTAAATACAACACTTTCAAATTTAATGCTTTAAATGACTAATTCACCCAAAAATTACAGTTCTGTCTGTATGTTGTTACTTTTTTCCATGAAACACAAAAAGGGACATTTTAAAGAATCTTAATGCAGCTCTTATCCCTAGAGTGAAAGTTCATAACTGAATTAAGCTGCATAATGATACTATTGTCCTATAGAGTTAAAATTTTCATAATTTATGAACTTTGCAACATTGACAATGTTATTGAACGGAACTGAATCAGCACTGAATCTGAATTGAGTTGAATGACACTATTGTGTTCTAGAGCTGCTTTACAGCTGAAATTGAAGCTGTTTCATAAATGATCAATGAACTAACACTGTTATTTTATTTTCCTGTTTATTACTGTGAAGCTGCTTTTTGACAAACAGTCTGTATTGTATAAAGTGCTCTAAATTTGACTTGACTAATCAAGCACCAAAAAATTAATAAATAAATAAAAAAATTTAATGCCATAAAATTAGGTTAGTGTGGGGAAGAAAGAGAGGGAAAAAAATGACAGCATGCAACAACATGAGGGTGGGTAAAACCAATGACAGAATTTTCATTTTTGAGTGGACTATTCATTTAACTACGACTCAAAAGTTAAATCACTTACCAGTTAGAGTTACATCAGCAGTTACTGTCATTCATTTCTCACTGTGCCAGGTTATGAGACTGTGTCAGGCTATGAGACTGTAATACTTCACTGGGCTGTACTGCAAGCAGGGAATTCATGAATGCTAATTGGAGAGAGTGCACTTACTCCTCTTGGCTTGTGATGGTTGTAGTTTTATTGAACCACAGGCTGTAAAATGTTCTTTGACAGACCACCTTAGCCTCTTTTAGCTCAGATGGGCATTGACTTTCCATATCTCTATGCCCCACGTCCACCCCACACATGGCCAATGTCACTGACAGCGTTATTAATGCTGATCTACAGATGAGGTACACCACAGACCCTGAACTTCCCAGAATGCCATTAGTTTGTCTTTAGCCCCATGAAACACACAGCTTTTGGCAGTATGTACTAGGGATGGAACGATTACCGGTTTCACGATAAATCACAAATTTAATTAGCCTATTCTATTTATGTTTGTATGTGAACTCGAAATCAACCCCAACTTTGCTTTAAAAAGCATCACAAGATCTCCTAACCGAAGATCACATGATCTTCAAGTGATTTATTATTATTATTATTAGGGCTTCATGTTAATGTTAATTTAATGTTTATGCTAAAAAAAGTGCATATAGCTCCTAATTGTATTGGTTGTTTGTTGATTTTCAAATATAAAACTTATTGAAATGTGTGTATCAGTTCTTTTTGAACGTTTTCATCTAATTTGAACAAAACCGTGATAATATTGATAATCGTGATAACTTTGGTCACTATAATCGTGATATGAAATTTTCATACCGTTACATCCCTAGTATGTACAAATACATAGTTTTACTATGTGAAATGGGAAAAAGAAAATCATAAAGTATAATATTCGTCACCCAAATGGCACAATGCACATAACAGCTTCTACAGCCGAACAATAAACAAATATACAAGGGCTAATGCTGTCACAAGTTCTCCTCTGAAGTTCCTAGAATTGTGATGTGATGTGATGTGCATTCAAAGGATTTTGATCTGATAAATGGGCTTACATAGAGCCATAGCCTACATTTGACACTACATCAGTATGGGCGACCCAAGTACGAGTCCTTTCCCATCTCTCCAACCTAATCCTTATCAAAATAAAGAAAGAAAGCCACAAATATAACTTTAAAAAAGAACATAAAAATGTGTGTGCATTGCATAATAAAAAACTAAAACTAAACCATTAAAAACAATTAAAAAAATACTTGAAATAAAATAAACAATAACTGAAAAAAGTTGCTAGTATAGTTAGATCACATGGCAACATTTTTCATTTTCATTTTGTTTAAAGCACTAACATAAGACTAAATACATTAAAACTAAAGACTAAAACTTAATTTAAAAAACTATATAGACTATTTAATTAAACATTTTAATAATGCTAATAAAAATGAAAAAATACTGCAATTTTAACTATATTTTAACTATAATTAAAATGAAAACAAATCTAAAACATAAA